ATATGAATTCTTTTCATATTATTAGCATAACAATGATCACCTTTTTCTGTCTTGCTTGGTCCTTGGAGCAACTGGATGATGTATAAGCGCTTGGAGGCAGGTATTCAGAAAACGATGCAACAGGTACACTTCAGTTAAAGCCACTGTTGTCACAGAGACGCTGCCAACAGCTAACGAATCGTTTGGGCTGAGGGCCGCTTCATTAAGCCAGAAACCGTTAGTCCGTTCAGACAGTCATCGGAGACCTATGAATCTGGATAGTGTACCGGAAGCAAAACAGAAAAACGAGCATTGTCCGTTGCATCGGGTTCGTGAAACCAAGGATATACTGCAAAACTGATTACTTTTACGGAAGAAATCGAACAGGCACACAAATCACAAATCACCGAAAGTAGGTGCAGCCAAGGGTAGCGACCAAACGTCATTACACAAATGACCGGAAGTGGGGATCAATCAGATAAACGAACAAAACTGCCTAGCAGCACCTATAACGGGCAGCTGGTAATTGGTCAACACGAACTGTCCTGATAGAATGAATAAAGACAAAGGAATAATACAAACAAAACCACGGGCTACTCTTCGTCTGATTATAACACTGGAAAGTCATCCATCACGTGGGTTAACGTAGATCATGCGGATGACAGACTTAAGGGGTCGATAGCTCGACCCGGTTGCAAAATTACGAGTTGTAGTACCATGGGCAAACAAACGATAATACTACTTCGATTAGTAAGCTCACAAACATTCGCAGTAGATTACTAGGTAATCTATATAAGCACAAGAATAACACTATGGGTACTACAGAACCCTAGTCAAAAAAAGTGCGATAACAAATATAGTCATCAACACAGGCACAATTTCATTACTTTTGGCAATGGCAAATACAAAACAAAAGGCATATACTCATGTCACTTTTAGATTCCATACTTCACACAGTTTAAAACTTTGATAGGAGAACTAAACCGGCCTTTTCGAGCCATGAATTTAGTAACCTAAATATAAATGATGGAAAAGAGTTAACATAAAAATTAGTTCATTAGTAAAAATTAGGCTTTCACGCGGCCTTCAAACAAGTTCTTCCTTTATTTCTATCTCGATGAACGACACATCGGGAATATTCAAAAGAATCGGAAAACCAAACGAAAATTTCATACTATATTTCGGAATGTCGTCGTTATGACCGAACATTTTGACCGGTATTCCTTCCGCCTTTCTTCCAAGGTCTTCAATCGCAATGCATTGACTTGTTCTCGTCGAGCTGAGCCTTCATTATCTCTCATTTTGTTCGCCCCTTCTTCATACAGTAACGGAATACCATTCGTGATA